AGTGTTATATCTTGGCGCCGACGTCGCTGGTGGACGTCGGCTCGACATTGCGCTTGCCCTGTCCGGAAAGAGGGCCAGGCGCTGCAGAACTAAGCAATGGGTTGCGAGCCACGAGTTTCGGTCGGCGCGCAAGGCAGAAGGAAGCAGTGGCGGAGTGTTCGCGAGAGGTTCCGCGCTTGGTGGTCACTGAGGCGCGGAGCTCAATGGGGTTGGCGACCTAGAACGGCTGGCCCTCCGCCGCCAGGCCGCTTCTGTTCTTTGCCCGCCTAGGCGAGAGGCCAGCTAGCGGTCCGAGCTAGCGCTCCACCCTGACGCTTCTGTTCGAGCGGCGATGGGCCCAGGGCTGCCGTTGAGCAGAATTGTCCGGCAGGCAGCTGTGTCTACCGGGGCGGCACTTGTTGGCGCCTGTGCAGTTGAGCGTCGCTGGAATGTTTTTCTTAACGGGCGGGCGTCCTGCTGCCAGGTGGGCCCGCTGGAGGCCCCGTCCCTCGGATCCGCCTCGTCCCTTGCGCGTGTCCGCTGGGGTGCTGTGACAGCCGCTGCGTGGAAGGCCCGGGGCGGGATTGAGATTTCACCGCAACAAGCCCCCCATCTATCATCCAGAGGGTGCTCAACATGGGACTCCAGGTGGTAATGGTGAACCCTTGTTGGAGCAGGTGTGGTTTTCCCTTGGGGACAGGTCCAGCCTGAATGCCGTGCGAAACTATCTTCGCTCCAAGAAGCCAGCCCAACGCTGGGCGTGCCTTGGGCGCCCGTGCGTGTGCGAGTGCCGTTGGACTGTGGCGAAAGCCCATGGTCTAAGAAATAGGGCCAGTCGCGAGGGCAAGTGCGAGCGTGGCGAAGCGACGCCGTGCGTCACCTGCTATGCACGCGCACGCTTGCCCCTGCCGCTGCCGCCCGCGAGCATTCTGATGCCGGGGGGGGGCGGCTTTCGAAGCTCGAGGGGGCCCTGGAAATATTTTGTTGCGCCTGGTCAGGTTGCTGGCGTCGAAGCGCCGGCCCCCCCCCCCCCCGATTGAGCGCGCTCCTGCGGCCGCCTTTCTAAATGGAGACGAGGAGGTGGTGCCGGAGCTCGACGCTAAGCAGGCCGTGCCATATGCTGGCCAGGCCTCTCACCACAGTCTCTTTGTTGATTGGAGTGCCACCCGACCAGTTCTCAAGTGTGCGTGGGCGTTGGGCGTGCCGTGGGTATAAGCGTGGGCGTATGTGTGGGTGTTGGTGTGGGTGTGGGTGTGGGTGTGGGCGTGGGTGTGAGTTTGGGCTTGGTAGTGGGTGTGAGCGTCGGCGTGGGTGTGACGTCGGTGCAAGTGTGTGTGTGTGTGTGTGTGTGTGTGTGTGTGTGTGTGAGTGCGTGCGTGTGTGTGTGTGTGTGTGTGTGTGTGTGTGTGTGTGTGTGTGTGTGTGTGTGTGTGTGTGTGTGTGTGTGTGGGGGTGTTGGTGTGTGGGTGTGGGTGTGGGTCTGGGTGTGGGTGGGGCGTGGGCGTGGGCGTGGGCGTGGCGTCTTACGCTGTCGTTCTTTTTGTTCCTGCGTCTGGGGAAGCCCTGGCGTGGTCTGCGGTGCCATTCCAGGACCCCAGGCCCCAGTCGTGGCTGAGAACTCTTCACGCTTCGCGTCTTCCCGCCAGACATGCGCCAGTTCCGCTCGGGGGCCATGGTTCGTGGTGCGCCGCTTGTTCGGGCAGAACGCCGCCGATTGGGAGCCCTCCGGATGCAGGATCTCGTCGTCTGTTGGTGCTTCTTCGACGGCCCGTTCGCCCGCGAGGTGTGGTTACGCGGCATCGTCCCTGACGACTGCTGTGGGGTGCTGGTCTTGCATTCCGAAGGTGACGCTATCGCAATGTGGGCGCCATTGAACCCACCGCCGGTTGGGCCTGGGTGTCCTCGCCTTCTGAGCGGCGGTTGAGCCCCGTTGCGCTGCTTGCATTTTTCCGCCGCTCGCTAGCTGCACGCGTTCGGTCCCACTTTCGGCCGTTGTAACGCAGAGCCCCGCGATTTCGGATAAGAGTGAGGGGGCGGGCGCGGGCGACGCGGGCGTCGAGCTGGCGGACCTCGTGGCCCTCACCTTCCCTGTCGATGGCGCCCTCCTCCTCCTCCTCCTCCTCCTCCTCCTCCTCCTCTTCCTGTTCCTCCTCCTTCTCCTCCTTTTCCTCGTGATTTGCGTGCTCTGACAAGTTCAGCGCGGGGGGGATCGCTGGTGGGCCACCTGGAACGAATGCAAAAACAGCCCGCCGCAGGCGCCGACTTTTTTGCTTGTTCAGTGAACGTATCGGCGCGAACGAAAGTGGTACGGAAAAAATGTGTACAATGCCCAACAACAGTTCTTGTTCATTTTGAGTGGGATTCGCTGTCCGCGCCGCCGCGGCCTGTGTTCATTTGAGGCAGAAGGCCGCGTACCCAACATCGGCCGCTGTTGGTTTGGGACAACATCTGCTGTTGGGCAGAGTACCGAGTTTTTCCGTACCCATTTCGGGCGTTCCAAACGTAGTTTGGGTCGCGGGTGGGTCGCGGCTCTCCACCTCCACCTGGGAGGAATCCGAAAACAGCCCGCCACAGGCGCCGAACATTTTGATTTGTACACTGAACGCGGTTTGGGTCGCAGGTTCCCCACCTGGAATGAATGCAAAAGAAGCCCGCCGCAGGCGCCGAAGTTTTGCCTTCCTCAGTGAACGTTGTTTGGGTCGCGGGTGGGTCGCGGGTTCTCCGCCTCCACTTGGAAATAATTCAAAAACAGCCCGCCGCAGGCGCCGAGCAAATGAATTTTTACACTGAACGCGGTTTGGGTCGCGGGTGGGTCGCAGGTTCGCCACCTGGAACGAATACAAAAGAAACCCGCCGCAGGCGCCGACAGTTTTGGGTGCGTCGTGGGATGGGTCGCGGGTGGGTCGCGGGTGGGTCGCGGGTAGGTTGCGGGTGTGTCGCGGGGTGGGTCGCGGGTGGGTCGCGGGTGGGTCGCCGGTGGGTCGCGGGTGGGTCGCCGGGGGGGTCTCGGGGTGGGTCGCGGGCGGGTCGCGGGGTGGGTCGCGTGTGGGTCGCGGGTTGGTCGCGGGTGGGTCGCGGGGTGGGTCGCGGGTGGGTCGCGGGGTGGGTCGCGGGTGACTCGCGGGTGGGTCGCGGGGTGGGTCGCGGGCGGGACGACGACATTAACAAACAACAAACAACAAACAACAAACAACAAACAACAAACAACAAACAACGAACAACAACAACAACAACAACAACAACAACAACAACAACAACAACAACAACAACAACAACAACAACAACAACAACAACAACAACAATAACAACAACAACAACACCAACAACAACAACACCAACAACAACAGCAACAACAACAACATCAGCAACAACAACAACAACAACTACATTCACAACAACAACAACAACAACAACAACAACAACAACAACAACACAACAACAACAACACCAACAACAACAACAGCAACAACACCAACACCACCAACAACACCAACAACAACAACATCAGCAACAACAACAACAACAACAACAACACCAACAACAACACCACCACCACCACGAACAACAACAACAACAACAACAACAGCAACAACAACAGCAGCAACAACAACAACAATACCCCGCATCGCGGAATTCCACTTCAACCACGCGCCGAGGGACAGCGAATGACCGTTTGGTTCAGCCCCCTCACTCTGATTTAGGTCTTTGCTACTTGACATCTTCTCGACGGCGCGCGGCTCTCCAGCTTGCGCTCGCGAGCAACAGAAACTCCGCAAGACCATGCAGAACACCTGCCCGCGAGGGGGAACGTCGAGGAACAAAAACACGGAGACATGTCGGCCGTGGCCGATTCGCGAGGATGATCCGCGAAATGACGCTGACCAGGATGGACGGTGACTAAAATCGACGCGGCGTTTCCGCGCTCAGTCTTGGCCATGGTCCCCCGTTTTTCTCCCCCCCCCATGGCGGGAGAAGAGGGGCGGAGGGGCACGTGTGGTGAAACTGGCACGGGCAAGGCAGGACGAACCGAGGGAGCGCCGGGAGCAAAGGGGTGTGGCCTTGGAGGGCCTTCTCGGGCCATCCCCGGGGCCCGCCGGGGGGGCGAAAGGGTGGGGGGGGGAGCAGGGCGCGCCGCCTCTCGGGGGCTCGTGGGGCGCTCTGGGGGCGCTCTGGGGGCGCGCTCCTGGGGCGCGCTCCTGGGGCCGTCCCGGGGCCGTCTCGGGCCCAATTGGGAGCCCTGGAGGCCTCTTTTTTGGTGCCCTCAAGTGCGCCCTTTGGGGCCGTCTTGGGGGTGCTCTTGGGGCATATTTGGGCGCTCTTGGGGCCGTCTGGGGGCCGCTTGGGCGCCGCTTGGGGCCCTCCTGGGCCATCCTTGGGCCGTCTTGAGGCATCGACAGCGCATCGGGGGAGCGAGCGGGCAGGGCGGCGCCCTCCATGGGTTCGCCTTCGGTGCTGCAAGGGTTTTGGCCTCCCAGGGGGGTTTCCGAGGGGGGTCCCGAGAGCACTCGGACCTGTCTCGAGGCCCTCTTCGGGCCTCTTGGAGCCAGGTTTGGCAAGCAACGTTGAGCCATCTTCGGCCATCTTGAGCCCTCTTGGAGGCTATCCTGGAGCATCAGAGGCCCTTTTGGGAGCCATTCGGGGTGAAGCAGGCCCTCTTGCACGACAGGGAAGGGATGGGGTCGGGTTCCCCTCCCCGAAGGGAATGGGCTCTAGGAGGAGGGAAGGAAGAACTCGTAAGACCACCTCTTCCTCCTCCTCTTCCTCCCCTTCCTCCTCCTCCTCCTCCTCGTCTCGCTCACTTGTGTTCCGACGTCGGCCCTCCTTCTCCTATCGACCTTCTCCTTCTTCTTCTTCTTATTCTTCTTCTCCTCCTCCTTCTTCTTCTTCTTCTTACCACCCTCCTCCTCCTCCTCCTCCTCCTCCTCCTCCTCCTCCTCCTCCTCCTCCTCCTCCTCCTCCCCCTCTGTCCTTCCCTCCTCGTCCTACGCTTGGCCGTCCTCGATCTACCCCCGCTGGGGCAGGACCTGAGGCAGCTGTTCGGCCTCTACGGCACAGTCGTCGTCCTGCAGCAGGCCGACGCGGAGCCGGAGCGGTCGTGGCTCGTCGAGTACACCGCGCCCGAGGCGGCGGCCGACGCCAAGGGCACGATCAGCGGAGCGATGGCGCCGCCGGGCCACCAGAAGTTCTCGGGGCTGGACAGAACCCCCAACAGTGACACGTCGATTAGTGAATTGTCCGTTTTCGGTTCTCGAGAGGGCGCCGTGGCCGTCATTTTCCAGGCTTGCGCCCGCCAGATTTGGGCCTCAGGTCGTTCTCACTAAACCACGTTTTGCTAAAGGGGGGTCTGTCCATCCACGAAGTTCGGCTGCTCCAAGACCGAGACCCCCGACGTCATGATTTTTCACGTCGACCCCCAGAGGCCTCGACCCATTCCCCAGGACCAGTCTTTCACCCCCTTGAGTCTGGCATGCTTGCGCCGTGGAGACATCACGGCGGTAGGTTTTTGGCCGTTTTCGGCTTCGGGGGGCCCTCGCTGGGCCCCGGGACCGTCAATGCTCGGCGCGGGATGAAAAGCCCGCCCATAGAGAAAGGGTCGGGACTTCAGGGGCCCCGTTGTGGAAACATCAAGACATCCGATGGCATGTCCGCCGATTCCGCATCATCCGTGGTCGAGAACGGGCCCGATCTGGCATACCTCTGCTCGGTCTGGCTTGGTCGGGTTTAGTCCTGGGCTTGCTCTGGGCTGATCCGGCTCAGCGGTTCCATAGTCGGGCCTAGTAGCCCCCCGTCGTGCCTGCGAAGGCCTCCCAGCAGTTGCCTCCAAATCGAGGGATGGGGCCCCGAGGAAGAGGGGCGTCAAGCAATGTAAGCTCAACTTGGGGCCCCCTCCCATTGAGGAGGAGGAGGAGGAGGAGGAGGAGGAGGGGGAGGAGGAGGAGGAGGAGGAGGAGGAGGAGGAGGAGGAGGAGCAGGAGGATGATGGAGGAGGAGGAGGAGGAGGACCAGTGTAAACCCAAGAGTCATCAACGATGTTGGAATAAACCCTCCCTCCAAGCTCCCTCGTCATAGGCCCCATACACGGTTCATTTCCACTGAGGGAACTGCCTCGTTGGAAGACAACCGTTTGAAGACCCTGAAGCATGCCAAAACATTGTTCTCGGGATTCCAACGCCACGGATTGATCTGATTGTTGCGTCGTGACGATCCCGAGTCTTACCAGAACGCCATTCCTGGGACTTCAAGACCGCGTGTCAACGTACTTGTTGCGCCCTTCTAATCTGGAGTCTTTCCAAAACACCATGTCTGGTACGTTGATCATGGGAACCCGTGGAATTCTTGCAAATGATAAACGAATGCGCGCGGCTTAAAGGCGAGAGCCACATTTTGAAATATGAACCGCCCTCAATCCGTGAAACTCTTGCACTTTACCTCAAGAAATGTACGCGGCGCAAAGGCGAGAGCAACATGTTGAACACGTCCCGCTTTCTATCGTGAAGCTGTTGCATTTTTTGATACAAATCTACGCGGCGCGAAGGCGAGAGCGACATTTTGAAAACCACCCACACTCAACCAGTGAAACTCTTGCATTTTTTCAAAACGAATGTGAGCGGCGCTACAGCGAGAGCCACATTTTGAAAAAAAACGCCCTCCATTTGTGAAGCTGTTGCTAACTCTTAAGCTTCAGGGCCACAAGTGGTGATGAAGTCTCAAGTTAATTACAAGGAAAAGGACTGGACGATGATGAGGATGAGGATGAGGATGAGGAGGAGGAGGAGGAGGGCCCCATCCCTCGGGGCCCCATCTGAACACCCCCGGCAGGCGTTCGGAGGACGCACTCCCGAGCAGCTGCGCCGATCCAGGCCAGGCCAGCCCGGGCCACAGGACCTGTGCGCGTGGGTGGGGGTGCACAAGCCCGCCTGGTGCGGCGTGAAGCTGGCGCTCCCAGGATGTCAGATGCTGCGAGCGCGCGCTCCCTCCCGTCCTCCTCGTCCCTCCCTCCTCCTGTCGTCCTCGTCCCCTTCTCGCCGTGGCGTTCTCCTCTCCTGGGCTCCTTCCCGGAGCACGCTTTCGCGGGAGGGCCCGCCCCGGCCGCCCTGTGGCCCCCCCTCCTCCCCCCATGCCCTCATGCTGTGCCGTCTTCCTCCCTCTTGCCTCCTTGGCTGGCTCCTTCCCCTCTCCGTGGCTTGCCTTGCCTTTGTGGTGTGCGGTGTCTCCTCTCGTCCCGTCGGCTCCCCCGTCCTCCGTCGGTCGGCCCGTGTCCTTCGCGTCCGTCCATCTCCTCCCTCGGCTGTCCGCTGTCGCTCCTCGCTCTTCGCTTCTCCCTCGCTTTGCTTGGCCCTCCTTTCCCTTGTCTTGCTGGCTCCGTGTCGTCCTAACTTGGGCCGCCTGGGCCGCTGCATGTTGCCTCAGAGCCCGGGCGCCGGAGCCAGCCACCGCTCGGTGAGGGGCCAGCCGTCTTGCCTTTTCCTTGCTTCTCCTGTGACCACTGCAAGCTTGGCCGCTGGCCGCGCGCTCAACGGTGTGGCGAGTCCCCCACCCGCAACGCCCGAAAGTACATGTATATGTACATATGTAAACAGGTATGTGTATACATATATATATATATGTATATTTATACATATATTAATATCAGTATGCGTGCGTACATACATGAATGTGTACATAGCTTAGACATATCGGTGTGTGCATATACATGTATAGGTGTGTGTGCACACCAATTATCGCTTACACGTTACAGTGTGCGACGTCTCGTACACTGTGCCTTCGACAGTGCCCGATCGCAGTTAGCAATTCTACCAGCTGCCCGCGCTTGAGGACCCTCTGCGCCGCCGACTTAAAAAGTGTGTGTGTGTGTGTGTGTGCACCTTCCTTGCGCTGTGCATGCTCTGTTTCCTACTTGTGCTCGTCCAGCGCAGCCACAACTCATGCTTTCTCTGCATTTGCGCCGCGTTGTCCACCCACTTGCAACGCCATGTGGAATTGACGCTAAGCGTGGCCCGCCCTAGACTTTCGCTGCAGTGACGTCACTCTGCCGTTTGAGGAACCCGTGTGCGCCTTTCTCTGGGGCGGTCTTGGGGACCTCTTGGGCCGTCTTCCGCGATCTCAAGTCCGACGGATCGACTGTCTGGTTGTCGCGCCTGCTCCTTTCGCCTCCTCCCCCTCTTGCCAAAAATCTGCGTTGCACAACAACACGAAGTTCTGTATGCTGGTGTTGCTGCTGCTGCTGTTTTTTTGTTTTTGTTGTCGTGTTTGATTCACATTTCGGAATGGCGATTGTTGTTGACCCCCCCTTCCGGTAACTGTTTTAGTTGGTAGTTTAAACTGTGTATCCCGTTTTTGTTGTTTTGTTATATAATAGTTTAAAGTTGCGAAGTAAACCAGAGTCATACACGTGTATATATAATGTATTATATTTTATGTCTGTGTACATATATAATTATATACATATATCTATATGTTTAAATATCTAGACAAGGCACTTTCGCGCAGGACATCCTTTCAGTTTATGCAGGAATGGCGCTGTCGCTTGGGAGTTCCTCGCGATTTTCTCACACGCCGCGCTCTCGACGCTCAGGAATCTCACACTTTCACTGTGGATCTCGTGACGACATACTTGGGACTCGCGCTATCGTTTGAGACACCCTCGCGATTCCTGCAGGGCGCACGACGTTCGGGACCACCCGCCTGCTCGACCTGGCCGCCCGGGCCCGCCCTCCCCAGCCTGCCCGCTACTGTCTGCCCGCCCGATCTGCCCGCCTGGTTCTGTCACGTGCTTGCTGCTCCTGGCCCCCCCCCCCTCTGCTGCTGTCTCTCGTGCTCCATCCTCCTCCGCTCCCCCCTGTCCCCTCCCTCCATCCGTTCTCTCTTCCCCTGCCTCAGGGGCTGCACGAAACACACGTTGCAGGTAAGAAACAAATACACCCCCAAAGGGGGTAGGATCGAACACGAAGAGGGCGGGTATCGAGGGTTCGGGATATACGTGTTGAGTGGCCCGCGAGCAGATAAGAACGAACAGCTTTAAACTTTTTGTTATGGTTGAGTTCTCATTTTTAGAAATAAGTATGTTTGATCCTCCTTGGCTGGGAGCCAATCAGTTTCTTCCATTCAGATGCTTCTCTCGGGGCTCGATTTTCTGTTTACAATTCAGTATTTTAAGACACATTTATACACAAGGGGAAGCGAGGGGTCACCAAGCTGCATTGTTGGGCCCCGAGCAGGAACAACAACGGTTCCTGCTTGATATTTCCGCACAAGTTGTTCCAACATCGCGCTCTCGCGCGGAACGTCCTCACAATTTACGCAGGAATCGCGCTCTCGCGTGTTTTTTTGGGAATTAGTTCAGACGCCGCGCCCTCGAGGATTCACGCCTTCGCGTTAGCTTTGATTCCGATTAATTGAGAACCGCGCTATCGCTCGAATTTTCTTTGCAATTCATGCAGTATGGACGCTTCAGCAACACGCCTTCTCGACCTGGTCGCTGGGGCCCGCCTTCCCGACCCGCACGGTAGGGTCTACCCGCCCGATGTGCCCGTCTGGTTCAGCCACGTGTTTTTTGCTCGTGGCCCCCTCCTGCTAACTCCGTGCTCCATCCTCCTCCCTTCCCCTTCCATCCGTCCTCTCTTCCCCTATCTTGGGAACTGCACCAAGTACGCGCGGCAGGTAAAGAAGACATGCCCAAAAAGGAGGTACGATCGAAGACGAAGAGTGCGGGTACCGAGGGTTTGGGATTTACGTGTTGAATGGCACGCGAGCAGGTGAGAGCGAACAGTTTTAAAATGATTGTTGTTGTTGCTGTTGTTGAACTATTGTTAGTCCCCCCTCCGACAACCATTATATTTTTCAATTGAAGTGCTTCTCCTGGGGCTCGCACCCTGTTCTTTACAAGGGAAAGTGATGGGTCACCCAACTGTGATTTCGGGCCCTGGTTTGCAACAACAGCGGCTCCCGCATGATACTTCCTCACAATGTATTGCCAAGTCGCGCTCTCGCGCGGAACGTCCTCACAATTTACACAGAAACCGCGCTGTCGAGCGGGACTTCCTTGCAATTCATTCTGACGTTGCGCCGTCGACACTCAGGATCACGATCTCACTATGGATTCCCTGGCGACTTATGTGGGAATCGCGCTATTGCTCGAGACTTCCTCGCGATTCATGCAGGA